TGTTGTTGTTCTTTTTTTTTTTTTTTGGAGAGGATGAAAGACTAGCGATGTGATATGTATGATCTCTAGTGAATTTCTCCACCAATAAAACAGCTTTTCTTTTTAAAGTATAATGCCTATTGTAAAATAATAAACACTAATTCTATAAAGGATTCTCATAAAGAGAGAAAATTTAATGATAGATTCTAAAATTACCTTCAGTGAAGTTTGTAACATAAAAGCCAGAAGATAGTACCATGCTGAGCAGACCCATATCTAAAATGTAACAATATAAGTGAACATCCTAAGGTAGATACTAAATGAGAAAGGAAATGAGACAGTTTTCAATGGTAGTATTTATTCATCTGGAATTTCATATATTTCCTTTCTTGCTAAATTAGGAAGGCTCCAAGCCAGTGTTAGTATATCTTAGAATCATAATTCTCTAATGTCTCTCGGGGAGAAAGTGGTCTCTTAGGGAACTCATTAGCATTTAAAGACTCTATCAAGTATCCTAGCAAAGAAAATCTATCACCTTTTCCAAACTTATTTGACCATGGAACTGGATTTTATTTAACACCTGTTAGCATCTTCCAGAGATCTAATTTTGCAAAAATGTCTCCTAGAAAATTAGATCAGACTATTAGAAATAACAGGGTTTTTGTTGTTGTTGTTGTTCTTTTTTTTTTTTTTGGAGAGGTTTTCGCTCTAGGGCATGTGCGCTCGTCAGACAGACAGAGAGAGACATAGAGACAGAAAGCGAGAAATCACCCCCCAGGGGAGATGGTCACGCTGCAATCCCTTCTCCTCCATTCTCCTCTCGGGATCTTGGGCAGGCGCGCACACACGCCCGGCGTGAGTTCTAAGCCACCAGGTCCGGGACGCGAACCGCGCAGTTGACTACGTGGGAGTCCAGCAACATAACCATTATGCTAACTGCTGGTTCCCGAAATAACAGGTTTTGAGATGAGCCTAATATGTCTGGAAAATTGTCTTGCAAATCCATCATGATGCCCATTTCTGCTTCCATTAAAGGAAGGGGTTGGAGTGGTTCGCCTTAATACCACTTCCAAATTCTATAATGCAAACATGATTGAAAGTAATCTGACATTCACATCCCTATTTACATTTAAGAAAAACCTGAATCCTTCAATCACATTCTCATGAACTTCCTCTGGTTAGATAAAATGTATGTAATCCTCTTAATTCATTTTTAATAGTCCATATATATTTTTAATGTACAAATATTCCTTGAGTGAATTATCTCCTTAGGGGGTTTTTGTCTCAATGACCCCTATTTTCTCCTGGTCTTGGGTGGGTTAAACTATGCTATAGAGCTAAATTTAAATTATGCTTTTTGTAATTCATTCGCTTTCTCCTTTTCATTTGCATGGATAATCAGGAATTCATGGTATTATGGATTTTTAAATGTCAGAGATTGTAAAGCTATCTTGCCTATTACAGTAAAAACTTCATTAAAGGCTATCATGAATTCAAAGTAGTGTGCAATTCAAAGCAGCTGTATATCAGCTCCTCCTCTGCAGATTACCTCTGGCCTTTAAATAAAAACATCAGATAATCCAAGGATTCTTTTATTTCAAACCTAGTTTTAGGTGTGAGGCATTTCAAGGTAACTATGTTTTAATAAAGTTACTAGCCCCTGGCCATCACACTAGGTAAAAAATGATGGTTTCTCACTGGTCCAGGTATTCTATTTAGCTTCTATTGGAGGGATTATTTAGACCTTATTTATGTACGATCTTCCCCAAGCTTTACAGTTTAGCGATGCACTTCAGAAACATTTCTAAATCATGGTTCTTTGTTTTAAAAGTGATTTGGTTCTGGTAGGAAAAAGGAAATAATTTCCTCTTTCTCGTTGAAGTAAAATATTCCCTTGTGGGTCTAGATTACCTCAATGTTCTTTCTTTCCTCTTCTTTTTTTGCTATGAAATACTTGTGATTTTTTTTTAAAAAAAAAAGTAATACATGCCCACTGAAATGGAATATTTCTGTAACTGTATGTCATAAATAGTAATAGTTTCCTAATAAGAACACATGTGCTTTAATTGCTTTTCCTAACGAGGTTACATTTATGATTAGGAAAAATAAGATTAAGTGACTATGAAAATGATGAGAAAAATAATGAATGGAAATCATCTATCTTAAAGGATCAAGGCAGGCGAAAACCTCATGTAAAATATTCTTCTTTTATCACATAGCAGCCAAAGACAACTTAGGCCAAGATTAAAATAAAAGTGGATTTTATATCCTCTGTCTTCCTTCAGGAGTGTGTGTTTTTACAAGACTGAACTTTTCTGCCATCAATAATTTGTAAATTACCTTTTACAAAAGGAAAGCTAAAGCATATCTTTATGTAAACCTTTACACATCACAAAAAATCTTACAAGCACTCCAACCTTACGGTTTTGGCACACCAACTACATAGCATTTGGGGAGGAGAAAAGGGGTTAGCAGGAAGTGTATTTAGGATGGATGCCACCCACCATCAAGTAATGGTTTAAGTAGAAAGTAATCAGAGGGAGACCACAGCAGCTAACTTTCAACCAAAGATATTCTAGGTTTAGAACAATAAATAATTTTAATCAGTTAGGTTCCAAGGAGCAAATAGGGCTCTCTGAGGCTACAACTCAGCCTGAATAAGCAACTGAAAGACTGCCAGATCAGCAGTCACTCCATTTATATAGCATACCACCTGGCCTCCCACTAAAATCTGCAACATCTTTGGTTTAGAGACATTCATATGTTGTGAAACTTAAACACATTGGACTGGGAAACATATCCAGTTTATTAACACAGACAGACCCTTTCACTTACATCTGAACATAGGTCACAAGGTGAAAGGAGTTATGGAAATAAATGCTGATATGGACGAAGTTAGAGGGACACACATGAAAACCTTAGCACCTTTCTGGAGTCCTATCTTATTGCGGCCAGAACTGCCTTATAATGAGGCCTTTTGAGTGTGTTAGTAACTAAACACTCTTGGAAGAAGTCCAACACGAACCACCTCACCAGGAGTTCCCAATAAGGTAATGTGACACTGAAGCGTTCACAAAATCCAGGGCCTACATTTGATGAATAAGTCATTAAAAGGCTCTAGGATGCTAAAGGGATTACTTTTCTTATCAGGACACACAGCCTTGTGTATATGCTTCCAGCTGCACTTCATCATTTCATGGGACTGTCTGGCCTCTGTATCAGAGTTCATCATTTGATGGTCTAAGACTTCAGTGAGGCTGATAAGCGACACTGAAATTATAATGTGTGGAATGAGTTGAAGCCAGAAAGTATAATGGTGCCTGAGTTGTTCACTTAGCCCACAAAAAATAAAAGCTATACATGACACGTGAATGAAACAAAATCAAATTCCACCTCTAAACCTTGCAGTTCATACTAAAAGAGAAACTTGTTGATTCAGAAATAAAACAACACAACCAAACAAAAAACTGTAGGCCTTTTGAGTGTCACAGCTGTTCCCTGCGAATGAATGTAACTGAGCAAGCGAGTAGCAAGGTAAAAGCGAACTGAGTCTCTTCCTTATTCCCATCTGCCTTGCCCACCCAATCTCCTCCCAATCCTCATTACTTCTCACGTGCTCCTTCATTGAGCCCTGCCCTCAGAGTTGCACCAAATTAAACAGCATTCACTAGTGTGGTCTGTCAGGACAGCCCCCTCAAGTGGCTGGGATGCTGTGGATAAGGAAGAGCAGGTTTCTGTTTTCTAAAGGGGGATCAGCTCCTTATAGATCACGTTAGTGGTTTTAAGAAGAGAGTGAAATCTGGTTCAGCTCAGAAGAAGACTTCTGCCCTACAAAGCATAATTCACATTTACTGTAAATGTCATCATGCCTACGAGCTCCAGTGTGTATTTACAGTGTCAACCTAGGGCTTTCCTTGATGGATGCTTAAGCTTTTCTTTTTTCCAGGAGTCCTACATATCAATGTTTGGGGAGAGTTCTTTCTAGCGATTCTGACAGAATTGATAAAGCGTTGAAGCATGGCCTCCTTCCTTGAAGATTCTTGGCTATTTTTCAAGGGTTCACGGAAGGCAGGCTTTGCAGTTACATTTCCATTTATCACCAATGTAGTGAGCGGAAAAAGCCTGGTGCATCCTCAAAGCATATAAACAGAGTTAGTGTCCAGGAAACTTTCCCTCAAGCTGTTAGCACAAGGGAGGGAGGCTGTTAGTATAAGTTATTCACTTCACCACAGGGGCTAGGAGGAACCTTGTTAAACTGTGAATTTCAATCTGCAGTGATTTGTGTTGAAAAGGGGGATGAGCAGATTTTCATCCCAGGTTCCAAGAATTGTTTAAGTCCAGGCTACTCTCCCTTCTTTCCCTGCAGCTCCTCCCAGGGTGGATAAACCAATCACTATTTGCCCAGATGAGTTTTAAATAATGGAAACACCCAAGCACCAGGTTTGTTTGTGTTTGCCACCCAGGGACTGTCATATGAGGAAGTATCCAATACACTGTAGTAACACACAGGGCGCGAGTTAAGAACGGGTCCAAGACCTGGAGAAGTGACACTCTAAAAGGCGACGGAAAAGCACCTAATTCAAGAGTGAATTTTCTCTCCCGGCCAGCCCTGGGGCTGGCATAAAACGACATTTGCCTCTGGGTAAACATGGCTAAAGACCAGCCCAAGGGAATTTCCGCTGACCGAGTTAGGAATCATCAGCAGAAGGTACCCCAGAGGTGTTGCAGACATCCAGGCGGGAGCCCACACTGGGGATGGGGGTCGCCCCTTCCTCTTTGCCACGCAGTTCCTCCAGCGGACCCCACCACTACTCCACGCCCTTCTCTCTCTCCTGTTGGATTCTAAAACTGGGCTTACCCAAGCGGCAGCTGGAATAATGTGGAGTGTTGACACCAAGGGACCCGGAGGGTGGGGAAAGGTCCCTGGGCAGCACGGTACGCAGGAGGCTGATAAGCAAGCTGTAGGGGGTCCTGTAGAAAGCTGGGGCGGGGCGCAGAGGGGTCTTATCTCATGCACTCACCTGCTGTTCCCGCTCGAAAACTGCGAACCGTGTTGCCTTCCCGCAGGGGCTGGGGACGCGGGGACCTCCAGCCGCGCTCAGGGGAGCTTGGCATCCGCGCCGCCTGGACCCTGCGGCCGCCGCTGTACCTGTCATAGAGCCGCAGCATGTGCTCCGACACCTTGTCGTGCGGCTGCAGCTCGGGCCCCGGGCCACCACCTGCTGCGCGGTCGCCTGGCACAGCTTTGCGGAGCTCGGGCGAATGCAGCTTGGGTCCGTCTCCCTGCACCAGGCTCACACAGGAGCAGCCCAGCCACAGACACAGCAGCCAGCGCGCCCCAGCCATGGCCAGGGCTCGGCGCCGCGCGTCCGCTCCCTGCATCGCGGGGGGCTCTCGGAAGGCCAGAGGGGTCGGCAGCAGAGCGGATCGTTGAACTTCAAGCCAGTAGAGGGGAGGGCGCCCGGAGCCCCGGTCACGGCCCGAACTGGACAGCGACAAGCCCTACTCGCGGCGCCGGCTGAGCGCGGCCCGGCAGGTGGGCTCTTCCCAGGCAGCGGCGCGGGTCTGGCGGGCGCAGAGCGCCGGGGGCGCCGTCTCCACTCGGACGCTGAGCAAGAGCTGAGGTCGCGGCGTGTGTGGCCTGGGTGTTTTCAGGATCTGTCTCTCCCTTCCCTCCCTGCTTGATTTTCGGGAACGCTCGGCCGAAGCGGCGGCCCTTGGGAACAGGACTAGAGCCGCGTTGGACGCCTCTGGAACAGGGGTGCGCACCGCGGTCCGGAGGGCGCTCGCTCGCCCTTTCCAGGGATTGGAGGAGCCGCGGAGCGGCTGGTCCGAGTTTTGAGTGTACGTGTGTGTGCGTGAGTGTGTATGTGTGTGTGAGTGTGTGTGTGTGTGTGTGAGAGAGAGAGAGAGAGAGAGAGAAAGAGAGAGACAGAGACACACACAGAGAGAGAGAGAGAGAGAGAGGCGCTGACTGCGTTCCTTGGTTCTCGGGCTGATCTGGAGAGCCCGCAGCCAGTCTCACCCTCTCCCTGGCGCGTAGACAGCTCGGACCCCGCTATAGCCAGGAGAGAAGCGAGGTGGGAAGTAACCAGCGAACCAGCAGGGGGAGGGAGAGAAGAGGAAGTAGCGGTAGGGGTGCCTGGGGAGAGGAGGAGGAAAGAAGATCGAGGAGAAAGAAAGAGTAGGAGGGACGAGGTATTTCCCCCCACCCCCTTAATCTCTTCAAGGACGGTGTCTAGATTCGTGTTAGCAGCAAGGCAGAGAAAAGAGAAGAGCTTTAATCTGGCTTCCCCCCCTCCCCTCCGATTCCAAATAAAATCATGACATGAATAAGATTCTCGCTTCCCTTCCCGGTTCTTTCCTGGGGACCCCTGCACCTGCGCCCTGGCCATCGCTTCTGTCTTCCAGAGAGCTCGCCCAGGGCAGGTCCCCTTTCTCCTGCCTCTTCATCGTCCCCCAGGAGAAAAATCTGTGCGAGATATCCTATGTCAAAAACACACAAGCAAACACACCACACCCCCACCCTGAGTTCCAGCCCCTCACTGCCCCGCAAGAGGTTTCCCTGCGGGATGGGGCAGTGGTGGTGTAACCCAGGGGCTTCTGGAAGATCCCGGAGTCCCGAGCAGGCTCTTGGGATGGCTAGCTCGTCAGTCCTTTGTAATTCTCTCTTTTCTTGGCTGCAAGATGGAGAATAAACTATTCGCTAATATGTTATTGGGCATGTAGCATGCCCTAGGCACTCGCCGGCTTCATGTTTCACATGTATTCTTTACAAAGAATTTTCACAACAATGCTCATTTTTAAAAAAAGTTTTTCTTATTTCTCCACAGAGGGACAGAAAAAGAGGCACCCTTAATAGGATCTTCATGCCCAATCCACCCCTAGTGTCAGCCTCCAGATTCTGGGTGTGGGCCCAGAGCATGCACAGAGGTCCTGGTACAGAAATCCAGATCTTCTCCCATGTGGGTCTAGTTGCCTTACCACTGCACCACTGCCTGGTCCCACATCCCATTTAACAGATGAGGAAACTGAGGTTAGAGGACACACAGTAGGTGGCAGAGCTGAGCTTCAGATTCAAGGCGTCTTTGTTCTGAGCCCCTCTATTATGACATTATTATTTAAGAAATCAGCATTTAAGCTGAAGTGTCAAAGTGCAGTTCTTGGAAATGTTCCTAGTACAGTTCCTGGCCAGGTGCAGTAAAACAGTCAGCGTCTATACAGCTCTGTGCCGGTGCGGGGCAATCAGGTTTATTGGAAATAGGATCTGGGGTCGTATTGGATCTCCACATCTCAGTTCTTCTTTAAGGGTGGATAACAACACATTCCTTCCAGTTTTAGTTGGATGACAGTAGAAAGCAGTGCTGAACTGACTGGCACACTGACTAGCCTTTGGTAGGGGCTCAATCCCTTTTTATCCCAAATTTATCCCCAATGCAGACTGTGTTCTCCCCACGCAGTCTCCTCTCAACTGGCTGCGGTGTGGATTTTGCCCTTAGCCACCCCAAGAACTGTTCTGCAGATAATAACACATGCTTCAAGAAGAGGGGTGAGGATTAAATGAGATCATGTGTGTGATCTTAGCCTGGCAGAAAGAACATAATAGCTTTTGTGATTAATAATGAAGACCTAATTGCAAAATTCAATAGGCCCTGGAAACGCCCTCCCTCTTTGGTTTTTCCCTGTGAATTTCTGGTCATTTTCCTTCTTCTTTTCTGCTCTCCCTCTGTTCTGTGTACTGCCTCCTCTTATTGTCCTTGCGTCTTTCTGCTCTGCCCTGGGAGGAAGCCCAATGGAAAAGTCCTCACTCTCGGTGGTTTGGTGGTCATCTCTGATCGTTAAATACATAGTTCTGGGTCTTCCTCAGCCCTGGTCCTCAACGTCAAATAGATGCTTATCCTCTTTAAGACCTTCGTAGTGACATTCTCTGCAGAATTTTAAGCACCCCCCATTTTTGATAAACTTGTGAATATCCTGCAGGCATATACATTTGGTACACCTAAAATGAAACTGATCATCCTTTCCGAACATATTCTGGGGTTCCAAACTCCCATGGACAACACTATTATTCTTTTAGCAGTCTGGATTATTTACCTTCTACTCACTGACTACATATTAGATCCACCGCGGAGTCAGAAAGAGGTTATTTCTTTGCTATTTCTCCCATATGCCGTCTTTATTTTTATTCCGACCTCTTTCAATGAGTTATTCATGTATTTTAATACAGACTAATTTTTAAGTGGCTTTTAGTTCTTTCTTACTCCAACTGTGTTTGATTCTTATCGTGGCTTCACAAACTGCCAGATACTTAGAGGCTTAAAACAACACCCATTTATTATCTCACAGCTCTGGATTTCAGAAGGCCAGGTGTGCTCAGCCGTGTTCTCTGCTCAGGGTCTCCCATTCAGGGGGTTGGCCTGATGGTATCCTCGTCCAGGCTCACTCAGGTTTTGATAGAATCCAGTTCCTTATGGTCGTTAGACTGAAGTCCCACCTCCTTGCTGTCTGTTAGCCTGAGCTTGATATTAACTATAGTATTAGAATCCACCTGCCACGTGCTCCCTTCTGTCTTCAAACCATCAACAAAGGATATCTTGTGTGTTGAATATAGTGCTTTAACTTCTTTCTTTAGGAAAGGCTCTCATCCTTTTTAAAAAACGTGCCTGGGGCAGGCCTACCACAGAGAGAAAGTGAGAAAGCACTCCCCACCTCCAAGGAATATGGCCATGCCATAATCCCCTCTCCTCCATTCTCCTCCTGGTATTTTGGGCACTCTTGCACACATGCCTGGAGTGATTGTTCAAGCTGCCAGGTCTGGGACTCAAACCTCTGTCAGCCATGTGGGAGTCCAGCGCATTTACTACCATGCTATGAGCCATGTGGGAATCCAGCACATTTACTACCATGCCCCATTATTATTTTTATTTTTTAAAGATTTATTTAATTCCATTTATTATTATTATTTTAATTTGACCAGAGAGAGAGAGAAAGGGAAAGAAAGCAAGCCGCCAGCTCTGGGACTTGAACTGCCAGGCCTGGGACTCAGACCTCTGTCAGCCATGTGGGAGTCCAGCGCCCTTAACCACCATGCAATCTGCTGGCCCCAACACACCCCATTATTTTTAAATTTTGGTAAAAGGCATGTGTGCTCACTAGAGATAGATATATAGAGTGAATGCAAGTGAAAAAGCATCCCCCATGAGAAATGGCCATGTCTCAGTTCCATCTCCTCCACCTCTCCCTCCTATTGGTATCCTGGGTACACATGCACACTCACCCGGCATGCTCCTCAAGCCACTGGGCCCAGGATTTGAACTTGCAAATCTGGCTATGTGGAATCTAGTCGCCCCAACCACCGTACCACAGGATAGCCCAATAACCTCCCTTTCTTAAAGTTAGCCTTGCCATTTAACGTTAGCTAATTACCAAAGTGATTTCTCATTAGATCCTTAGCTCCCTCCCACATTCAAGATGGAGGGTCTCTGGAAGTCATTTTATTATAGAATTCTGCCTACCAGGTAAATACTTCCAGTAGATTCAAGCCCTTAAAACTTTGTACATGAATGTTATAAACTTTCTTAAAAAGCAACAAGTAGCTGCTCATTAATGACTAAATTAAAATAAAACAAAACAAAGCAAAAAAAACCCTCAAAACAGAAAATACCTTAGTATGGTTCTCATAGCCTTCCACAATTTGTCCTCAATCTAATTTCCTGATGCATCTCTCTCTTTTCCCACATATACTCCATGTTCCACCCATAGGCAATGGTTCTTTTCTTTTTTTCTTTTTTTTGGAGAGGATTTTGCTATAGGGTGTGTGCGCTTGCCAGACAGAGAGAAACAGAGAGACAGAAAGCGAGAAATCACCCCCCCAGGGGGTATGGCTACGCCGCAATCCCTTCTCCTCTGTTCTTCTCTCGGGATCTTGGGCACGCACGCACACACGCCCGGTGTGTTTTAAGTCACTGGGTCCAGGGCACAAACTGCGGTGGACTACATGGGAGTTCAGTGACACAGCCATTACGCCAACTGCTGGTCCCAGCAATTGTTCTTTTCCATGTTTCCTTCACACGATATTTTCCTTTGCTTGATTTGTGCTCCTTAAGCCACATCTGAAAATGCTACCTTTTCTGCGAAGTGATTCCTAATCAATCCTTAGGGTTCTTTTAAGTTCTTTTATGTCTTCATCATCTTTAGAGCTTTTCTACAGCACTTAAAAGACTCTGTGACACAAGGGGACTTCAAAAGGTCATGAAAAAATGGAATTCCATATACCAATTGTGTACAAAGTACAAATTTACTTTGGGGTAGGAAAAAAATTGAAATTGGTGAAATTCCCATGATCTTTTTGAAGCCCCCATTCATGCTGCTTTTGTTTACTTTCATAAAGGAATGACTATTTCCTCAGTAAGATAAGACAAAATCCAGCTGATTTAAAGTTGGCAGTAATAGAAGAACCTGAACCCCAAGAAGGAGTGGCTAGACTTCTCATCTAATTCTTCCTCCCCAGATTTTCCGTCTGCCCATCTTTCTCCGGCTGACTCTTATTTCTATAGGGGATTGCACAGAGAGAGTCTGCTATTTCCCATTCATTCATTCCAGCCTGAGCTTGAACACTCAGCTCCTCAATTTTTGACACAGAATTGAGACACACCTTGAACTTGAAAACAGGAGTTGACGGAAGGTTCATGGGAAAAAACACACAGAGATCAATATATAGTTATATAACCTGCCTTACACAGCAGTTTTGCTCTTGATTTTCTGGTTTTGGAGGTCTTTTTTTTTTTTTTTTTTTTTTTTTTTTTTTTTTTTTTTTTTTTTTTTTTTTTTTTTTTTTTTTTTTTTTTTT